AATAATTCGTTTTTAGATCGAATCAACGAATTGTTAAACGAATTCAATCAATGGCACCAGCGTGACCAAGAAGAACAATAACATCGTCTATCATTTTATTTTTAGATCATATGTTACTAATTTTATGTTTTATTGTAGTCCATGTATGTTGATATACTTATTTCATGACAATTCTATGTTTATCCTTTTGTGTGATGTAAATTAAATGCTGAATGGCGGTTCATGCAGGGAAAGAACATATCAATATTCGCATATTCATTCAAAAACATGAAAATTCTTAATGGAGTACCCTCATTTCTTATTGAATTCCTAAAAAACAATATTTATAATAAATTTTAATAATTTTTTAGGATTTTTTTTAAGCTTTATTTTGACCGATTCACCCGATTCTTGATCCGAATCGCCGATTCGCCGATCCAAATCGGTTTTTTAGGTGCCTTATCCGAGTCACCGATCTGTTTTTTAAACCATTGTATAGCATGAACACTGATATATATATATATATATATATATATATATATATATAAAATAGAGAGAGTGAAGATGAGAAGGGAACTATTAGAAAGAAATGAATTAAGGTGCTGCATATCGATCTTAAATCCCTTTTTTTCTTCCTCTTTAAATAAATAATTTCTTGAAAAACAAATTATTGGTGAACACCAAGTATAGAAAAGGCCTGAGCATCAGAAAAATGAACTTTTTGAATATAGAAATAGCAGGCCTGAGCATCAGAAAAATGAACTTTTTGAATATAGAACTAGAAGGCTAAACCCTTCTAGGAAGGTATCTATCTTGCTCCCCATTCTAACAGGTGGCCTGAACTGCCAAGCTTTTATGAAGGTTCCCACAAGAACTGTCTGACCCAAGAACCTCCTCTGTGACTGAGACTGAACAGCTAACATTGCCAACACAGGCCTGTCAAAAAACACAGTTGTTAGAGAATAGAGAGAGAGAGAAGCTAGAGTTTGTTAGAGAATAGAGAGAGAGAGAGGCTAGAATGTGAGCCTTTGTACCTTTTGCACTGCAGACAAGGCGCTCGCGATGTTGCAGCCACCCTTTTGGAAAGACCCACATTGGCCTTCCGGGTTGCCAAAGCTTGCAAACTCAATAGCAGATATGGATTTTCCACTTGGGCATTTGAGTTGCAGGGTCGAGCCCTCCTCAATTTTGCTGCACACCTTACCCACACTCACAGTTTGGAAGTTGATGTCTTTGGGGTCTCCACCGATTTCTTCAAAGAGCACAATTATGTTCTCGTCGTCCCCAAGGAACGATCTCGGTACATGGTAGCTGCAAAATAAGAGGGTTTGCATCAATACAATATGAAAACCGAGAGAGAGAGATCATGAAAGAAAAAAATGAGAGATAGAGAGAGAAAAATCATGATTGGATTGCTTACTATCTTTGAGTAGGTTCACCACATCCCGTGGGACAATTTTCAGGTTTATATACTCCTCTGTAATTGCAAACAGAGGGACAACCATCCTGAGAAGCCAGGTTTGTTGGCCAGTATCTGCCAATATTTTGTCCATTAATCCAGGCTGAGCCCTTACCCATGCCTTGGAGGTCAACCACCACAGGGTCAGTGCCCAAAGGAGCCGGGAAGCTTGCCTGATAACCGAAAACTTTCCATTAGATCATAAATCATGTGATAACATTATGTTATCAGAGACATTTAAAACAGGGGAATAACTAATACATCAACCACAGTTGTTCTCACCTTGTACCATGTCATGGCTCTCTTTGTTGGGAGAGATTCATTGTGCCATTTAACCTTTTTCAGATTGTCTATTTCATATAGTTTCTTTTGCTCGCTGATCAACCCGACCTGTTGATATTGTAATAATATTAAGAGTTAACCTATTCCTTAGCCACATCTTAAGTACAAGGCAAAAAGAAATGAAAGGAATTAACTACTAGGCAAAAAGAAATGAATGGAAATACAAAGTCACCTTGTAGAGCCATTTGGATGAGGAGATGTCTTTTGTAACATTACCACTCCCAATGATCTGAACTGGTCCACCAACTATTCCACTAGGGCCCATGTCAAAGAAGGCTCCATAATTCTGACAGACCAAGAACATATATAAGAGACCAAGAACATATATAAGATTATTTGAGAGGCCAAGAACATATAAGATTATTTGAGAACTTATATAAGATTATTTGAGAGACCAAGAACATATAAGATTATTTGAGAGACCAGAAAAATTTATAAGATTATTTGAGAGAGAGAGAGGGGGAGAACCTGTAAACCAACAGTGACACTTAGTAAGCTTATGTAATTCCTGCCACTTTTCAGGTGGACTGTCTGGTTAAACACAAACTGGTATTTTCCATTGGCAGCATACTGGGATCCTGAACCAACATAACGTTGAATTTTTTTACTAAAAATTGAACCCTAGGAACTATTTCAAAAAGAGGAATACATTTTAATTAAAGGCCAAACCTGCAAGCTTGCCATTGACATATGCGTGGAGGACATGGCCAGTTGTATTCACACTTAGAACCATCTCTTTGCTATGGGAGGGATCATTTTTACCAATGACCACACTGCAGTTAAACAGTTAAACCCACATCAATATGTATGTGTTAAGTAAATATATATACGTTATGCATGTGTGATGCATGGATGGGTGTATGCATGCAATGAGACTTGTTAGAGAAATGGAAGGCTCTTGCCAATATGGGGCTAACTGTATGAGGGCCTAAAGAAAATGATCTGCATGCATCTATCCATGATTGTATATATATGTGTCAATCCATGCATGTATGTATGAATTGTTGTCTAGTGAAATAGTTTGAAAGATTAAGACTCCTAATCTTCATCCTCATTGTGGAAACTAGAGTACAATTCATGCCAAAACTTGAACAAGATATATACATTATTTGTGTAGACATACATGCCTAACGATGATGTGGACCTCTATGTATAGTGAAAAGGTGGTGAAAATTATTGTTCTAATACATTACCTGGTTGAGTACCACAAGTAGTCACTCTCATCAGCAGCCGCTTGTTTCTGTTCAATAAGTTGAGTGGATGTAAAGGTAGAATTTGCCAATTTCAAAATCCCCTTGATGATTTCAGGGCGCCATTGCCAGTCTAGCTGCTCGGGTATGATGGATTCTGCCGAATTTGGCTTCATCTCCATCAATGCGGTCTGAGTTGTGACCTGTAAAAAAACGATTGTGATTATTTTGGAGAATGAAACTAAGTGACATGGAAAAAGGCCCAAAAAATCTGCAAATAGAATGTCATTAATAATTATCATAATCATCATGATAACCCTTACTTGTTCATTATCATCATTATAGGGTGTGATTTGCACCTAAATCCTTAATTACTTATACAATGACCAAAATGAACAAAAAGCAAAAAACATGGAAAGAAAAGAGTTCAATAGAAATAGAATGCAAAAGGAAAGAGAGAAACAATCATAATAATCATGGTAAGCCTCACTTCTTCATTACCATTATTATAGGGTTGGGGACTATGCTATGATTTGCACCCAAATCCCTAATTACTTATAAAATGAACAAAAAGAAAAAAAAAAAAAAGGAAAGAAAAGAATTCAATAAAAATAGAATGCAAGAGGAAAGAGAAAAACAAACCTTAGCAGTGTTATATGCAACTTGTTTGCAGTCGGGAAGGATGCTGACAGACCAAGCTGGCAAGAAGTATTGAATTCCTTGGAAAGTAACTGTGGCATCATTTGTAGTATTTGTATTGCTCAAGAAGCAGCTTGAAGCCCCATCCAAAGTGTAGATGGTTGCCTGAGAAATAGAAAATAGAGATAACAATTGGATTTAACAATGATTAGATGATTTTGTTTTTTATTGTGAAAACATTATGATTTAAGTCCTAGTATATGTAAATTAATTAGATGATTTTGATTTTTATTGTGAAAACATTATGATTTAAGTCCTAATATATGTAAATTAAATATCTATGTTACATACGTCAGCGCCAAATCCAAAGGACGTGTTTGAGACCGTCCCGGATGTGAGGACTTTCTCCATGGATATCAGGATTTCATGAAGCTGCTTCAAATGCCCCCACTTGGGTTGCCTTAAGTTCCCTGCAATTAGGGTAAAAGTAGCAACAATCATATTCGAGAAACAAGTATATCAAAATGCTAATAGAAAATTGAAAAGTGACAATGTATATCAAAATGCTAATAGAAAATTGATCTTTTCAATAGAGTATAACTAGTAACAATCATATTTGAGAAACAAATATGACAAGGTATATGGAAATGCTAATAGAAAATTGATCTCGTGCACAAATTTGTGGTGATATTTATGATTGATCTTTTAAAAATTTTTCTTTTGAAGTTTCTAGCTCACCGTATTCATCGAGCGGTGCATCATAATCATAAGAGGTTGCAATGTATGGGCCTCCTGCAGTGCGGCCGAAGTTGGTTCCACCATGATACTAAAAAGGGCAGCCAGTAACAAATAAGTCCAAAGAAAATAGCATATAAAAAGAAAATAGCATATGCATTTTTGAATAATGTAATATGTAGATAGGTACAGGGTTTGCAAGAAAATAGCATATAGATGTTTCAATAATGTAATATGTAAGGTAGGTAGTATGGGTCAGGGATCGGACCATGTAGTAGTTTTGGAAAGTGCCACCAGTTTGGTAGAAGCGAGCAACTGCATAGGCAACATCTTCAGCCGGCCTGTGAGGGTCTCTCCCTCCCCATCCCTTGAACCTGATAAAAAATGCATAAAATAAAACACCAGCATAAAAATCATTCATTTTTTGTTTTTTGTTCGAAATCCAAATAAATTCAAATTGATACAAAAGAACCCACCAGCCGGTCCAGTTCTCAGTCCACATCTTAGGGCTGTTTGGATTGTTTGGCTTAAAGCTGTCGCAGTAAAATCCATTGCAGGTGTTGATCTTTTGAAGGAAAACAAAAAACGACAAACACTCAGCAAAAGCCATAAAAGGAAGAGGGTGAATTCAACATTAGATATAAAGAGAGAATAAAAAAAAAATGGAGATCATAAACCATGGGCTGGGGTGCATCATTTTGCTGGCACATGATCCATGGCACGCCAACATTCAGAGATTCAGCCATCTTTGCACACCATTGGATGTAGCGGTGTCCAGCATCCCCGTAAGGGCCTTGAACATTTCCATATTCATTCTCGATCTGTAGGTAAAACAGGTAAAACAGGATATTGATTCTCAATAGTTCACATAATAAGAACCACAAAATAAGAACCACAGTAGTGTATTGGCACTAACATGAGAGTGGGTGGGGTCAGAAGATTCATACCTGGGTGAGGATAATAGGTCCCCCTTGGCCAGCCAGGAGCTTCTCTGCTTTAACCATATCGACAATCTTGGTGGTGAAAATTTGCATCTCGTTCTAAGAATTAAACAATCATAATGGTTATGGTTTAATTTTCATGGAAACTAGATTATATTCACCTTAAAAAAAAAAAAAAAAGACAATAAACAACAATTAAACAATCAACGATATTGACAATCTTGGTAGTGAAATTTTGCATCTCATTCTGAGAATTAAACAATCAAAATGGTTATGGTTTTAATTTTCATGGAAACCAAATTATATTGACCATCAAAAAGTGAAAAAACAAAAACAAGAACAATAAACAATCAAAATGGCTATGGTTTTAATTTTCATGGAAACAAAATTATATTCAACATCAAAAAAATAAAAAACCTAACAAATTAACAATAAACAACCATTAAACAATCAAAATAGTTACGGTTTTAATTTTCCAAATTATATTCACCATCAAAACTTTAAAAAACAAAAAAAGGAACAAAGGGGAAGGAGAAGGAACCTTGTAAATCTCATTATCAGTCCTTAGTTGAATCCCTGGAATGTTGTGAAGCCAAACAGGGAAGGCCCTAGAAGAATACACAACAAAAAACTATTAGTGAATATTTCTCAAAAACCAGTAAAAGAGAGAACTATTTTAGAAAATTAAATTACCCATAGTTCCATTCTGCACAAACATAGGGGCCAATGCGGAGAACAGCATATAGCCCTGCATCATGTACAGTCTTGAGGAACCTGACGAGATCGCGCCTGCCGGTGAAATCATACTGGACAAGCCAAAATGGTGGTAGTTGGATTATGTGTTGTATTTAGAATTGAAATAGGTAATTGTGTAAATAAACATGTAAATATGCAATGGAGAGTATGTAGTAATGTAATAGACATTCACGTAAATCATCACAAAAATATGCAATGCAAGATTATATTGATATGCAATAAGCGATTTATACATGTAATTTTGTAATGATTTTGGAATAGGAAAGTGCATGGATATGGAATGAGAAATATATTTATTAGACAAAAATTTATATCTATAATTATTTGATTTTAATAAAGAATATATATATATATATAAAAAGGAATGGGCTCAGGATAATATTATGTCTTTGAGCTCCAATCCTTCCATGGTTAGCGAACCCTATGCCCACTGTACTGCCTAAAAGAATTTGCTTTAGTTTTTTTTGTTGCCTTTTCATTGTAATCTATATGGCAATACCTACTATTTAGTTTTGAGTAATTTAATTTTTTATTTAGTTTTAAATTTTTCATCCTGCAAATTCAAAGAAGTCATACCCATAGTTGAAATTTCTTTTATCATACTTATGTTTATGATTATTTTTATCCTTGCAAAAGCATGCATCAGCATGTCCTTTTACACTAACTGAAACTTTTAGATTTAGAACTTTAATAATTATATATGTATTTTTATGCATTTACAATTGGGATTTTCCTCTATGTTGTTGCTCATTATATATAATATACATGGTTTTTATAATTAACATATCATTGAACTTTAAGTTTTCTAAAATTTAGTTATGACTAATTTCCTTAATTTTCTATTACAAAATTTAATTGTTTTATAATTATTAAGTGTTATTTTCTACATAAATAAGATAATAAATGTAAGAACTTTTATCATTTGAGTTACAATTTGTTCAAGTTAAGAATTACATATGACTAATTTTCAAATTATCTACTTATAATTTTAAGAAATTAATATAATAGAAAAACCAAGAAAATTTAAAATATCTTGACACTATTAACGTAATTATATGCAAAAGCCGTTGTAACTTTTAAAATTTATTACAAAATTCATTATTAAAAATTATGAAAGATAATTTATTCACTGTAAAATTATAATCTTACTAAATTGGGTGTTTCATTCTCTTTGATTATTTCTAATTTGATTTCCTCTTTGTAATTCAATGCTTTTTAAGCATTCAATCAATAAGCGCTCTTAACATTGTCAAAAAAAAAAAAATTAGAAGTTTTTAAAATGAGGGAAAGAAAAAACATAAAGTGTAAAACTTGCATCCTGTATTAAATACTACTAATGGAATATGATTTCTTTTTTTTGAAAAACAATATACGTAAATTTTAAGATATGAAAACATTAAATTCAATTAATGATACTAATTTAGAGAATCAAATACTCATGAATAAGATATTTTAAACTTTAAAAATAAAAGATATTATGAAATAATTTTTGAAAATATAAAATGCATTTTTAAGATAATACCTAATTGTTTTCAAAAATTTATTTTTTATAAAAAATAAAAATAATTCCTTTTTTTTTAATGTAAAACTAAGAATATAAATCTCTTAGAAAATTATAAAACTAAAATGATGCTGGATTCCTTTTTTTGTTGCAAAGATATCCTTTATTTTTTTGGAGATCTTGTAGAAGTTTGTAATAAAAAGTAAAAATTGTTCGTAAATAATTCTCAAGATTATAAGTTTTTGTAAATAAGCAAATAAAATTTTCTAGAAATGGCTATTTCTTTTTGTGGAAAGGACAATAAAAATTTTAAATCTATTTTCAGATTTGTTACTAAAAATTATAAAAAAATAGGTCGATCACAATTTATAAAATAATTAAAAAAACTTATAGAAGCATTCTAAAATTTATTAATAAATAAAAAGATAAATTAACCATATACCGTTAAATATACTTGTGAGCATTGTTACACATAAGCAATTTAGAATGAATCCCTGCACAATAGGAAAATAAGTAAATGCAATTAGGATAATAGAATAAGCAGGATTTTACAAAAATAATTAAAAAAAGGAAAAATAGATGAATATGATATATAATTTTAAAAACAAAACAAAGGACAATATAATAAATAATAAAACATTTTATAGAGAGGCTGATGACTGATGAGATGGGAAAAAGAAATGCATGATAATACGTGTGGGGAGAAGAAATCTCTACACTCTGCAGACCTCCCCTCTCCCTGAAATCTCTATGATATCTATTTTATAGCTAATAAATATATATTTTTTATATCAAAGAAGGCAAGACATTTGCTATATGTATGGATTTCCCATGAGAGGGGGGGAATAATGATTTTCCATGAGAGGGAGGAAGAGAGCTTGAAATGAAAAACAAACACAACAATGGCAACTGGCAAGAGTGAGAGAGATCAGCACCTCACGGGGCCTAGGCTCGTGGACATTCCAAAAGACGTAAGTCTCGATCGTGTTGAGACCACCTTCCTTCGATTTTTTAATCAAATCAGGCCACATCTGGAAAATTACCAAGAAACAAACTTTATTAAGAACCCCATGAAAAAAAAAAAACAAAAAAAAGAAAAAAAAGAAAGAAAGAAAGACAAAGAGAGAAATAAACAAGATTAATCATGGACGAACAACTAAATAAAAAAAATTTAAAAACTTCTATATCCAAAAAATGAAACCACCATTTCATTTTAAGTATAGGAGCAAGCATAACTCCAAAATAATATCTGAAGATTTCTATATTCAAAAAACATATCTAAAAGAAAGTCAATTGCTAGAAATTAAAAATACACCCATTATGCTTAAACGAACTTACACCGCCAGAAGAAGCTACATTGTAATAACCAAAATCCAACATCCAACATTTTACAAAGGAATACACAAAGTCCAATATTTTACAAAGTAATACCAAAAAACCATTTTATTTGAAGAAAAACTGGCCATTAAAACCACCCAAAATTCTTAAATAGTGAATTTAAAGAAGAAAATATACCTCTGGAGTGCTTCGAGGATAGTGAATCGAGCCCGAGATAAGAACTCGACGCTCGCCATCGATGATAATGGCTCTCCCATCATAAGTAACCTGTGTTGCAGAAGCACAAATACAGAGAGAAGCAACTAAAACCGCCAACAAGAGAACTGTGCACCTCATTTTTTTTTTTTGGGTTTAACTCTGTCTTCTCATCAAATGAGAATGGAATTTATAGGAAATTTCACCTTTTGAAAATAACTAATCCTAGGAAATATATCTTAAGATAATAACTGATCCTGGAAATCCATTGGTTCCATTGATTAAAACGGATATATTTCAGTTACTGCTTTTTTTGGCCCTACAATCGAGCATTGTACAGCTAGAGAGAAACATTAAAGAGATAAATATCCATAAACTTATTAACGATATCCCCATTTGGGTTTTCAAAATGGGATTCAAAATTTCAAAATAATTTATTGTGATGAAATGGAATTGGCTGTCTCCTCGGTTCAGTTAGGATTACAGAGGATCTGTTATCTTTATCCTCTCTCTACACCTCTCTTTTTTCTCTCCCTAAATCTCTCTCGCTCTCTCTTTAAAATCTCTAGTTGTTCTCTCTCTAAAAATCTCTCTCTCTCTCTCTCTCTCTAAATTCTCTCTCATAGTTGAACAGGATTTCCATGAATATAGGTTTTTTCGCGGGAATGTTGTCAAACGTATCTGTTGGCACAAAATTACAAAACTTAACCCTCTGTTTTACTCAAAACACCTCAAGTGCTTATTTGAGATACGGTTGGCAATGGGTCGGGTCGACCTGGACGTGGACACAACCCAGACCCATTAGTTCCAAAAGTTGGACCCAAACCTGGCCTAGTTCTGGCCCGTGTTCTAGAACCTAAATTTTATTTTGAAAATATTCAACAAATATATTTCATACACACACATCATACTTCTGGGCAAATTTATAAAAATAATGAATGTTTCTATAGGAGAGATGTTCGGGTCAGGTCTAGGTCGACCTACATCTAGATCTGACCTTGATCTCACTTAGGTCCAGAGTTTTAGATCCAGACCCAACCCACCAGGTCCCGACCAGCATCCGGATTGAGTTGCTTGCCCCATTGGGTCATCGGGCCTATATGACCTGATTGCCACCCAGGATTTGAGATAGTAGATACTTTTTTGTAAATTAAGATAAAGAAGTTTCTTTTTTTCATTTTTATTTGGGTAAAATATGATAAATGATTTTTTCTGTTATTAATAACTATTGCTTGTGTATTTATCGCTTGAATTGAGATTTGAGAATATATCACACTATTACTACGACCTTAATGTTTTAAATTAATATGTTATTATTTAAATAACTTTTTTGCTGAGATCAATACATATGAGTTCATATCATAAGAAATAAAACTGGTAAATATATTTTAAAGTTTATAAATGATAAAGTTAAAATTTTCCAATGTATATAAAAAATTAAAGAACAATTATTATCCAACTAACAGCTTAACTTGCATATCTTAGAGTTATTTTCAGGTAATCACATGTTTTTTTTCAAATTTTAATTGTTAAATTTCCTTCCATATTAGATAATAAGAGAGCCCTTAAAATATTGTTAGTATATTCATTTTATTAGAACAAAATTATAAATATGGTTGTATATTCGTTTCACCACCCAGCATCTTTCTCCTCGTGTGTTTATCTAAATACTTCTCTCTCTTTGTGTTTATCCAAATATATCTCTCTCCTCTTAATAACCTTATCTAAATACTTCTCTTTTCTTGTGTTTATCCAAATATATCTCTCTCCTCCTAATAGCCTCTTATCATCAAGCACCTATCTCTCTTTCGGTGTTTATCCAAACACATCTCTTTCTATCTATATGCTTAATGTGTATTTGGGTTGGGAGAAGAGAAACAGAGGGGAAAAAAATGGGAAATGTAAAGAGAGAGTGAGAGATTAGAGATGGGAAATACCTCTCTCTCTCTCTTTGTAAATCTACCATATATTTGGGGAAAAAAAATTGAAAAGAGAGAGATGGGAAACATAAAGAAAGAGCGTGAGAGGAGAGAGAATGAGGGGTTAAAAATAGAAAAGCCAAAAACAAACGGGTGGGGGAGAGAGAAAGAGAGGGTTAGAGATAGAAAAGACAGAAAGAACAGGTGGGGGGAGAGGGAAAGAGAGAGGCGCTAAGTCTAAATAAAGCTAGGCCAAATAAGGACAAGTGGATAGCAAAGATCCAGAGTAGACATGAGATGCGGCTTAAGAGATTCATGTTTATCCTAGATCAAGGGCCTAGATCTTTAAATGCCTTTTGACAATAAATGCCCCATCCAGAAACCTTGCAAATCCTAGCCTATGACATCTTCAAGCACCTCTAAACCTTCAATCTGGAAAACCCCTATGCCTCCAATCACTCGATTTGAACACCCATTTTCAAGTTCATTTCACTATAAAAACAACCAGCTTTCGAAGTTTGGAAAAGGCCAGCAACCAATTCAAGGCCCAATGCCATTGTCAGGTCTAAGAGCCCAACTTGAGTAAGCTTTTTTTTTATTCTTTTTCAATTAATTTTTTCGATAGATTAAAATTTGACGGACTCCACTCTCTATCCTACAGTCCATGCTTCGATCTAAGTTTCCCCGATTTCCATGTAGAAAACATCAGATTTAGAGAGAGACGCTCTTTTATTAACTATATAATTTCAAACTCTTAATACAAAATGCCATCCTCACACGTTCACATACTTTATACAGCGCATTTACGCCATACGCCACACCACAACATGCATACACAGTCACGCACATACACTCTCTAGCAACAACCCACACCTCAAAACCACCACTCTCTTCAACACAAATATGCAACATTACCACTGAACAAACATTAACCGCGGACTCTCCCACACCCAATGAATCACCACTCTCTAAAAATCTACCTGATAGCGAACTGTAACTCACTTACACATACACCCCACGTTGACACTCTCTCACACTCTCACGAGCAACCACACACAAATACGTTGACGTTTTATAGTATTTCTCATCGCATTTCACATGGTGTACAATAATTCATATGAGTTGGTTTTAGTGGAAGGTTCAAAAAAGCCCGGGATAAGCCAAAAGGACATTGTTTGAAGTAGTGAGAAAGATTTGGGAGTTTATGGCTTCATTGGGAGTGTGACCCTTGATAGGGTATGAGAGTCCAGGAATCATATAGCCGATCCCAAATACTTAGGAAAATATTCTAATGATGATAATGATGACAATGGTCCATATGTGTTTTAATGCAATCCCTAATGTAAGAATGCAATAAAAGGAATAGAGAAGAGAGAGAAAGAAATGGATCTGACAAGGATTATTTATGGTTTGACAATGATGCCTATGTCTATATAGGGTAAAGCAGTTTTTAGTTTATAAAAGTTACTTTGGTTTATTAGAGAATTATAAAGTTACAACTCTTATGTTTGAAGAAATAAATCTCGTTAAAACAATAATTCAACAAAATAGGAAACTCAATATGGGAATCTCAATATTTTATAATCCCACAAGATAAAAAGTCCATATCTTGCTGCTATAACCGTCAACACCCATCTTGAGAAATGTATAGAGAGAGAGAATGAAGCCAAAGAGAGAGGAGCAACCACATAGGGCTCTCAACATTCCAAGCTCTAGTCTCATGTATAAATAGTGACCCACTAAACATAATCTAATGGGTCACTTGAGAGTAAAGATGAATCTGTGAAACTCATGATATTGTTTGACAAATTTTGTACTCGGCTATTTAGTCTTGGCAGTCATATTTCTCACTCCTAGGAGATAGTCTGAGGGAATGAGAAGAACTCAACCTGTGTCACTCAATTTTTTTTTTCTTGTAGAGTATTATATAAATGAACCCACTTTCTAAAGCATTGAATTCCTATACATGTACATCAATTTTGACACGATTAATGGAACTAAATGCTAACATTGAAGGAAAAAACAAAAAAAACAAAATCAAGTAGCATCTAGGCCCAATAGATAGCCCCAATTAGGACTGTAGAGGGTAAATTATATTCCATTTCATACTCACTATGCCTAAGAACCAGGAACATTTGTTTATAATATAGATCTATCCTCCTTGAAGCATGTGTTCAAGAAGTGCTCTCTTTCAATGAGCATATTAGTGGGTTGGAGTTGTGTTTTCAAAGGATATTTGGCATGAAATGTGTTCAAGAATGTCCTTCTTCGCTAGAATTGCTTGCCACTGTTAAGATTGGAACTTTAATCCTTTTTCTTTTCTTTTTCTTTTGGATTTTAGAAATAGTGGGTTTTGAATGCGCAAGTGAGAATGAAAACCTAGACCGGTCGATTAAGATTGGAACTTACCATAAAAACGCTACAATAGCATTGATTACATAATTACACTACTACTTAATTTGTGGAACTAAATAAATATCATCCAAGTCAACATTCTTTTTGTTGCAAACGATCATGCCACAAAGTGCAGAACACCAAATTAGGTCTAGAGAGACTAACAACAATTTACAGGATCTTGACACAGTTTGGCTCACAAAGTTAATCAATGAATAGTTCTCCCATCTGAAAAAAGGCATTTGCATGAATTAAAAGAGTATATTGGAATGGGTATACAAATAGGTTAATCTAGTGGAATTGAATGAATGAACAATCTATTAATATGTTCCCTAGTCTCAGAGTCAGGTTTTGTAAATCCATCTCCATTCGAGTAGGCACAATGGGCCATCCGTGCAAGATTAACTACGAAATTGACATAGGGTTTTGGCAAGATGGATGGTGCAAGACACTCTGCATTGAGTTTCTTCCATGCATCTCTAATCATCTCCTTGATGTGTTTCCGTGCGGCTTCCTCAGATGCCCCTGTTTCATGCATATAACATTGAATAGATTTTGGGACAACCCCTCTTAGGATCTCATCCTGCATCAATCAAGTAATAAACTTATGTCATCTAAATATTGTCCACTTAACCAATAATAAAAGGAAGTGCTCCCATGAGAGCAAATTGTAACACTTATTCCTAGGGCAAAAGCACCTACTATGGAGGATTTATGTAACCCTATAACTTTCGAAACATGTCCTTTCAAGTCAAGGATCAATCTAAGAACTAAAAATTTATTTCATGGCTAAAAAATTACCTGAAAGATTGTCTGCTCCAATAATGTATGATAACTGTCTATTTGATCTTGGGCTTTAGGAGCTAAAAATCTTCTTTTTCTGTTTTTTAGGACATTGTCTGTTTGATTAATATTCTTTGCAAACTTTTAGAATAATCCTCCTAAATTGGTGTTTTTCCCATGGCAGTAATGTTCAATTTTCTCCCACCTGAATTGCATCCATGTGATAAATAATTCAAGCAAAGAAGAGTAAGCCTCACCGGACTTGTTACCAAGTCGTTGCACAGTCTAAGGACCATTGATGACCAATAAATGAGTCTTGATTCA